TAATTTATTTTATATTACATCTAATAATATATTATATTATATTTATATTCTATTTATATTATATTTATATTAATTTTATATATAATTTTTATGTGTTTTCAAAATGTATTAATACATTTTATATCTCAGGTAATTTTTAGTTAATTAAAAATGTGTACTAAAGTTTAATTAATATTATATTTCTAGATATATACTCTGGTATTATAAATTATATTACTACATCTATATGTACAGTACTATATTATATTACGTGTTATATAAATCATACATCATCTTATTAAATATAAAATCAATCTTTTTTTAACACATTGAATTTGTTTTACACTTTCAAAATGTATTATAAATATTATTAAGTTTTCTTTCAAATAATTTACTTTCTTTTTATAGATATTCACGTATTAAATAGTTCATTATATATTCTTCAGCATAAAACTACCTAATACATAAATTGAGAAAATAGAATTTAAAAAGAAATTGAAGTAAGAGAAAAAAAAAACATGATGAAATTTAAACGAAGAAAGAGTGTTCTTATTGGCATGGTAAAGACTCGTTTTATCATATACCGATCGTTGCTCTTCGAATCAGCTGCTTTCCACAGATTTCCGTGAGCGAACTTTCCGTGACCTCTTTCAGGATACGAACGAACGTTGAAATTCATGCACTTCGAGTGGAACACGTTCAAAGAGAGAGAGAGAGAGAAAGAGAAAGAGAAAAAGAGAGAGAGAGAGAGAGAATCAAACGTGAATATCGGTTTCTCTCTTAACTGTCGAAAGCATGAAGATAGTTCGTGCGTATCGATCATTCTTTTTGTAAATCTGCTGATTGCGAGAGTATTGCAATTCTGTGTTAGATTTTTCTATAACTACTTTTCCTTTTATTTTGTCATTTTTATTTCTATAATTTTTTCTTTCTATTCGATTTTATTTGATTTGATTTTTTTAACTGATTTTAAATTTAACACGTTTAATATTATTATTATTTTTTTTTTCATTTTTATATATATCCTTCAATTCTAGTAATAATAGTAATAATAATAAAAAAAAATAACAAATGAGATAAATTTTTATAGATATTATATTTAAATATTTATTTTATCTATTAAATTTTAATTAAATTAATTAAATAAATTTTAATTGTTTATTTTATATTAAATTATATATATATATATATATATTAAATATTATATTTTATAAATTTATAAAATAAGATAAAGATGTTTTTAACCAATTTGATTTGTGATTTATTTTCTTAACAAATTTTAAATATAACACCTTTAATAATATTTTTTTTTTCATATACCAATACTAAAAGAAAAGAAACTATAAGATAAATTATTTAAAAAAAATTTATTATCAATGATATTTTTAACAACATATTTCACAAATATTTTTATACACATTGTCTTATCTTGTCACGTAAACTTAGATATCTACCCACGTACAATAAGATCGCATATAGGTAAAGCTTTTCTAACGTCTAACACGTTCGTTTATGTTTCAGAGAGAAAGCTGTAAAGCTGTTGACTCTAAGGACTAACACAATGAGACGTAAAGAACATGCACCGTCTATCCTGTAAAAGTTTTCTCTTCAAGATAACAAGATCCTTTCTTATCGATATGCATCCCATGCATCTTCTGATACTTTCACGGGTTATTAAATCATAAAAGAAAAGTTGGAATGCTCGATGGTACTTCTTTCCTTTCTATGTTGTTTTCTATTGAACAAGATGGAAAAATTTAGATAGAAACTCCCCTTCCCAGGTAAATCGTTGACATTCTTGACATATCATTATTATTATTATTATTATTGTCAATTTGATTTAATCGTTATCACTTATGAAAACGAATAATGCATTTGTGTCTGTGAGTGTGCGTGTTTGTGTGTTACGTGTGTATGATACGTGTCAGAGGATAATTCGAAAATTTGAATATCGTCTCGAAATTTATGATCGAAGAAGGGTCGAGTGAAGAGGTGGTAGTATTCATGTGTTCGTGTGCGTGTGTGTGTATGTATAGTTAGAACGGAAATCCTGTTTAATAGCCCGTCGATATTCGTCGGTAATATTTGACGGTCCAACGTAGAACCTCGATTAAGTTATTACGCTTGGTTTCGGAACTCGTTTAGGAAGAGTTATCCGTGGTAACCCTTTTTGATACTATCTTTAAGTAGATCACTTAACTTTCTTAGTGGAAACCTTTCTAGATTCTTAAGTACATATAGAAATTTTAACAAGATCAAATAACTAATTTACTTACTTCTATGTTAAGTTTTAACAGTATTATTATTATTATTATTATTTGAGTTATTAAATAACTTTTATTTTTTTATATTACATTTATTTCTTATTAAATTTTTTCATTAATTTATTATATTTATTATTATTTATATTATTATATTTATTATTATTTATATTATTATATATATTATTATTTATATTATTATATATATGTTATTTTATATTATTATATATATTATTATTTATATTATTATATATATATTATTATTTATATTATTATATATATTATTATTTATATTATTATATATATTATTATTTATATTATTATATATTATATCATTTATTTTTTAATTGATTTTCTTTCAGTTCTTTTTTCATTTTAAAATGAATTATATTAATACCTTTGAATTTGTAGTTAAAGTTTTTACAGTATTATTATTATTAAATT